AATGGCCATTGAAAATAATCTTCCTAAAGTGAACATGACTGCTCCAAGGAGTAGAGCTAAATGGATCGAGAGTTTTGAAAAAGGCACCATCGCAACAGAACCAGAGATAGAACTCATTTACAAAGATTACAAAGGCATCAAGCGAGTTCTGCTCATGAACGAAATTCACAAGTACTGCGATGGTACGCTTAGAATAATTGAAGACCATCTGGGAGAAGCTGCAATTGAGCTACTAAAATCGAAGAATCTAGATGACCCGATCCAGATCGCTCTTATCACAGACTTTATCGAAGCCATAAGACTCAGACTTGAATTTAGAAGAACTCCCAGACATTATAAGTCATCTTAGGCTATCGAAAGTCATTGTCAAAGATTCAGAAATAAATCGTGCTTCATCGAAGATTGAACACAAAGGGGGAGAATGTTAGAATAATTATTTGTTGTGTTCAATTTATTTGTAATTTATTCAATGAGCCTTTGTAATTAATTAAGGGCCATTTAATTAGATTAATCCGGCCCATCGTACTTTAACTAGGATGTTTGGCCATCTCTCTATAAATAGAAGGGGAATGGACCGAACAGCCTGAGGGTTTCACAATTAGAATAACCATATCATTCTCGAATCTCTCTCTCTAGAATTCGAAGCCTCTACACATTCTGTTTCCGCATATTATTCTCTGTAGAGCCAGTAGAATAGAAATTCTCTCTCTAGCTTATTCGTTCGAGTACTATGTATTGTTCTTCACCGAATCATCATTATGAATACACGGTATAAGTTGATGTTGAATTTCTCTTCTACTGTTTAAATTCTTACCAGTATTCTTAGATTATTCGACTGTTGAAATCTGGGCATATCTCACACACACATAATATGAATTTGGCATTCTTGTGTAAGAATGTTGTTTGGTCCCCTCTAGATTTTGATGATGCACATGTATTAGACTAGAAGCTTGGTTTGATGTACTTTGTAATTTTTGTTGCTTTAAACTCACAAAGAAGAAAAGTATTCATACAAAAAGAAAACAAAAAGAAGAGTATAAAAAAGAAAACGTACCTAAGAAAAAAAGGTACGAGAAAAGAGTTAACTTGAATTTTTTCTTCGCCAGCAGCCTGCTAGTGTTTCTCACAAGTTGGCCCACAAGTTCAGGACTAGCTTACTGCCAACCAAAGTCCGTTGTCCAACCCGAAGTTAACCACCAAAATTTTCTTTACAAATTTCTCTCTTGCAGCAGAGACAAACAAAGGTAAATATAAAAACAAAGGCCAAGAAATTATTGCTAAATATTGCGAACAAACATATGGCCTTTACATATTTTTTGAAGACTTCAGAATTATTGAAAAGAAAAGATTTCCGAAAATTATTTGAATGAGACCCTCAAACAGTAGAAGTATTAAATGAGCAATTGAATGGATTGTCTGAAAATTAAAAGGAAAATATAGCGAATGATTTTGTATATCCAACCCATACTCCTCGAAATACATCACTACAATAAAGATGTAGTATAAATACAAAAAGGGTCACAGACATGCCATATGAAGACAAAAATAGTCTATGCTCTCCAATTGTCAAACCAAGTGGACCAATCAACGGTGAAGATTGAATCTCCTCATCCAACAGGAGATATTCAACATCAAATGGTCTATAAATACAGAAGAAGTGTGAAGCAAAAGAAGCAAGTGAGCCAGAGTAATCAATACAAGCTTATACGAAGATCTAGCAAAGAGAAAATGCTAATCTATCACTTCGCTTTAAGCTCACTCACACTTATTAAGCTCTTAGACTAGTTCATTAAAAGATATACTTTTACAGCTTAATCTTAGTTGGGAGGTTAGAATTACTTTGTAATCAACAAACTGTGAATCATTGGAAGGTATCCAAAGTGTGAGTAGAATAGGACTGAATAGCGCTTGAACCAGTTCGGTTCATTAGTGAAATTCCTAAGGGTAACTTGGAGTAATGTTGTAATCCTTGTGAAAACCTGGCGATCATGATATAGGCTTGTGATTAAGGCTAGATCGGGCTCTAAGTGTATTGGGCTGAATAACATAGTGGAAATCCATCTGAATGAGGGTGGGACTAGATGTAAGAGGATTACTCATTGTGTCATTTACTTTCCAAGTTCATCCAAACACACACCCACTATCTCAGGTCTTACAAATCAAGTCTTACAAATCTTATTTTTCAACAAACAACTTTCTCAAAGATACCTAAACTGCATTAATACAAACCCATTTTGTATACCCAGTTAAGCTGAACATATATCAGGCAAAAGTGTTCTCACCAAAGCAAGCTAATTCATACTGAGTTATATACACCCCTTTTGAACTCAATTTATATCTTTCTGAAGTTCACTATTCCAAATAACGAGTTGAAGTTCTTTACTTATCAGCTACCTCAACTTTACACTAGCAGCAGCAGCTTGCTGCTCATCTTACTACTAAGCGTCATCCAGATAACTCTGTGTCTTTTGTGAGAACTGTTGTTACCTCCAGTTTTCCACAAATGCTGTAAGAACTCTTACCAGTCCAACTTCACAGAAAGATCCTTGGAACAACCTTTGGTCAATTTACTGTAAATAGAAAGTTATTCTTTCTATAACTAGAAAATGTGTAACCAATCCGTTTCTAAAGAGGTCAAGACTTCCGTTGTGCATTCTATAACCTCTCAAAAGATTTAGAATCGAAAAGTTTTAAAAGTCTATCCCCCTCCCTCTAAACTTTTACCCACCAGGGATCATCAAATGTCACCACTACATGGCATTCTTATAAACAAGAATATATAATGAATTGAAGCAAACAAGGAAAACTGAAGTTACCTTTTGATTTGAAACATTTCTACATCATGTAGTTTATTTACAACTCGAACAGTCCAACCACATTAGGAATCTAAGCAAACAACATGTAGATATATTTTCTTCGAGGTCTTAGTTTTGTATTGGGAGTGGTTTGTGATAGCATACATCTTCGGACCAGATGGTGGATAAGTTTTTTTTTGTAAATAGCATGGACAAGAAGACAAGTATGGTGAGACTATTTGATGACTTCGAAATTGTGGAGAAATGAGAGTAACTGAGATGATTCAGTTAATAAGCCACCTGGCATGTCATCACTGTCTTTAGATGTTTCACTTTCTACAGCTCTAGACACGGTGTTACTACAAGAAACAACATCTTCAGAGTGTCCACAATTTAACCCAGAGTGGTTAACATTTTCAGTGCAAAAAAATGGACTATCAACCAAAGAAAGTGCAGGTGAGAAGGCATGTTGTTGGGAAGACGCAACAACATTCTCATGCAAACATGAAACATCAACAAAAATTGAATGAGGTGAAACATCAACAACAGAAGGTGGAGTTGAGGACAAGTGTATAGTATAAGTGGTATGTTGCTGTGAAGCAATGACAACATTTTCAGCAGAAGGAAAAGCAGAAGGTTCAACATCAATAGAAAATGAAGGTGAAGAAGAAATAGGATAAAACTCAATACAAAGTGGATATTTTAAAAAAAAAACTGGTTGAAGAGATTTAATATAAAGATGGAATGTTAAGCTATATTGGTCATTTATAGTAGAGTTATGCTAGAGGTACAAAAACTTTTACAAAAAGTCTTACAAAAGGGGGTATGTGGCATCATCACATTATTTAACACATCACATCACATTTACAACACTTTTACATCAATGGTAATTAGAATAGCCACATCACTTGTTTGTAAGTTTTTTTGTAAGTGTGTTTGTACTTCTAGCATTTTTCTTTATAGTAACAGGAGGGCATCCATCACGCATTTAAAAAGTCTAAAATTATGATTAGGTTTGTACTGAGAAAGGATGACAGTTAACATATCAATAAAACAAGCATATTGAACATCATAGTTAACATGAAGATTACATGTGTGGACATTGGTGAACACATAGTCAGAATCCCAAATACCATCCACCTTGATCATAACAGGTAAAACATGATCCATTGTGATAAAAAGGTTCCTAAAAATTGAAGCACAACTAATATTTCGGTATGAGAGTAGCATGAAACAAGGCAGTTAGGAATACAACATGACAACTTTCGTAACAAATAAGACAGTTTATAAGGATGTGTAACTACTATTTACAACAAAAAATGGCAAATCAACAAATTACACATACATGACAATTAGGACTACAAAATGGCAGTTTTAAGGACGTAATTATTATTTAAAAACGTAGAGAACAACATCAAATTGAAATCGGAAATAGCCACATACAATGAAATTTGATGAAATAAAAGCAGTGATAAAGTTCATGAAAGCATATGAACTAAATTGTTGATAATAATGAATTTCAAATCGATTATAGTATGAAATTGTTGGTAATATGAAACTGAAGAATAAAACAGAGCACAATATATGCATATCTATATGTATAGAACTGACATCTTGTCGAAGCAAACTACAAGCAATTGTGACATAAGTTTACCAACGATTGATGAAGAATTGACGAACGTATAAAACAATGGCCAGAATAAGCCAATTTTGAAAGCAGGAAAGTTTAGGTGAATGTAGTCTGCAAACGAACACACCAATGAGTCAGGCATGAGGTCAACAAACTCCAAGCGAAATCAATGGCAGAAGCGGAAGAATGCTGAAAAAACGACGAATGATTACGTGAACTGAATGATGTCCCAACTAATTTAGGAAACTAATACTTCGACAGAGAATCTCAAGCAAAAACGAAAACCAACTTCCAGGTTGATGAGAAAGGAAAGTCATAAATGCTTTCAAAGACAAATAACCACATACAGTTGGTAACCTCAACTTAATCGTAATAGGGGTATTTTGGATATTGCGTAAACTATTAAAACTAAATATAGGACCGTATAATTCCTATTAGGGGAATACACTTTGGTAAATCCTATTATGACTTTTTAGTATGTTTTAGTCCTATTGTTAACGATTTCTTTTTTATCCCTTTTCATGATATTAGGAGCTTATTTGATCTTTATCCTTATATTGTACTACCATGACACAGAAAAAAACAAAAAATCAAAACATGTAAGCTTCTCCTCCGGGACAACACCCGTCCCAATTGCCATCCGTATGATTATCCCTTTGGGTCTTCTACTCAAAGAACTCTCAAGATCAAGTCAAACCATTTTGAGAACCAAACTACTCCACGCCAAAATTCTCAAGACCCGTCCATCTGACCCTTTTTACGCTACAAGAATCATCAGATACTATGCGCTCAATGATGACGTCATCTCTGCTCGCCACCTGTTCGATGAAACTCCTAAGGGAAGTATTTTCTTATGGAACTCAATTATTCGTGCTTATGCGAGAAGCCACTGGTTTTCCAATGCAATGGAGCTCTTCAAAGACATGATGTGCTCGGAAACGAGGCCAGATAACTTCACATTTGCCTGCATTTTACGTGCCTTCTCCGACAAGTTCGATTTCAGTGGGTTGAGAGTTGTTCATGGAGGACTGGTCGTTTCAGGGTTGGAATTGGATTCCATTTGTAGTAGTCAACTTGTCAGTGCATATTCGAAATTGGGTTTCTTGGAGGAGGCTATCAAGGTGTTTAACGGGATAGCCGACCCAGATCTAGTGCATTGGAATTCAATGATTTGGGGGCATGGCTGCATTGGGGATTGGATAAAGGGCTTTCAGCTTTTCATTAAGATGCAGAGAATGGGAAAACAGCCTGATGCGTATACATTCGTTGGCCTGGCTTCAGGTTTGGATTCACCGAGTTTGCTCAGAATAGGAGAAAACGTTCACAGCATGTGTTTAAAAACTGGTTTTCATTCAAATGCTCATATGGGCAGTCTTCTGGTGAGTATGTATTCGAGATGTAACTGTATGAATTCAGCTTGTAGGATCTTTGAAAGTTTACTAGAGCCTGACTTGGTTACTTGGTCTGCAATGATATGTGGCCTATGTGAAGCAGGGGATAATATTAAAGCATTGGATTTCTTCAGGAAAATGAATGTAAAAGGCAGAAAGAGCGATCCTTTACTGATCGCTAGTGGGCTCTCTGCTGCATCTCAATTAGCGATAGTCCGGCCTGGTAGGGAGATGCATGGTTATGCTTTTCGCCATTTCTGCCATGTGATGATTTTGGTATCTTCTGCTCTAATTGACATGTATTCTAAATGTGGGTTCTTGATGTTGGCTACACAAGTGTTCAGAACCATGCCAATTAAGACCATAGTTGCATACAATTCAATGATTTCAAGTCTTGGTTTACACGGAAAAGCATATGAGGCATTTCTGATTTTTGAGGAGGTTTTGGAGAATGGTATGTGCACTAAACCGGATGAAGCTACTTTATCTGCTCTTCTTTGTGCTTGCTGCCATGCCGGTCTTGTAAGTGAGGGAAGGAAATATTTCAGGACAATGAGGGAGAAATTCGGCATTCAAGCTAAAACCCAACATTATGTTTACATGGTAAAGCTTCTTGGGATGGATGGAGAGTTGGAAGAAGCATATAAACTTATCCAATCTATTCAAGAACCTGTTGATTTTGGCATTTGGGGGGCACTATTGTCATGCTGTGACGCTCATGGAAACTACAGACTGGGAGAGATTGTAGCTCAGCATCTCTTTGAAAATAAGCTGCAGAAAAGTAGTTATGGGGTAATGGTATCCAATATGTACGCCAGAGATGGGAGATGGGAGGATGTAAAGAAGGTGAGGGTTGATAGGGAAGCTGTAAAGGGAAAGATTCCAGGAAAGAGTTGGATTAGTAATAGGAAAAAATAATGAGGTGTATCATGCAACAAGAACAACATTATGTTCTCACCGTTCTGTGATGTGGTATACTGGTATCTGTCTTATAAACCTTATAGGTGGGTTCCACAATTGTTATGTATAGCTTGAATTTATGACGTACGTGTGTGAACTTTCACCTACTTAGTGGTGGTTGAGTTTGTTTTGGGAAAGAGGAGAAGCTTACAATCAAATGTGGCTTGAAGTTTCAGAAAATAAACAAGTTACAACATAAAACAAACCATATACTTCGTAAAACATAAGTCCAAGTGGACAACAAAAGTCAAAAATAAGAGAAGATCAAAATGAAAAAAGAAAGAAAAGCGGGCATTTGAGTATATTGGCCGGGAGCACTAATGATGTCCGGAACAATAGCTTCTAGACTTTACTGAGACGATATGGAGCGATGAGGAGGTAGGGAGTCCTGCATGTTGCAAAGGAGGTCAGAGCGTCACGAAGTTGATGTTGAAGATGGAGCCTTGTTTGTGATACCCGACCGGGTGGGGTCAGTCACCCGACCGGGTATGATGTGAATTTGGCCGGGCAACTCTCTGGATTGGGAAACCCGATCGGGTAAGGAGGTTTACCCGACCGGGTCCGTGGATGGTTTTGGCTTCTGTTTAGGATACCCGCCCTGGTGTCTACCCGGGTATGCCTATTGAGGAGACACCCGATCGGGCCAGTGGAGTTTCTACCTTTCTGCTTTGGTTACCCGCCCTGGTCTCAACCCGAGCATGCTTGCTGAGGAGTCACCCGACCGGGTCAAATAGGAGACCCGACCGGGTCTGCGGAGAAATTTTAATTACGGGCTTAATTTTGGGCCTGCGGCTCTAATCTTGGTTTAGGTTTTTGTAAAACCTATTTAAACGACTCTAATGTACGTGTAAACCCTTGACGCAGACATAATAATAAAACAGCTCTCTCTCGTTCGCCGTGGACTAGCACAATCACCTCGATTGTGTGAACCACGTAAATTCTTGTGTTCTTGCTCTTTAATTTATCGTTTTATTAACCTAAATCGTAACAGTTGATATATATATACGGAGAAAGACCAAAAATGACACCAAAGTTTTTAACAAAGCTCATATTAGACACTAAAGTTTTAACTAGACCAAATAAACACAAAATTGTAGTTTTTGGTTCCTTGACCACGCTAAACCCTTCCTCTTCGTTAATTCCCCCATCCGATTAAAGCTGGCTTGGATTAAAGAGAGCAGGCAACAATGGAGGTCAGGGAGAAAACGGCAGCTTGGTTATTAGATATAGCGACTTACGTCAATGCTCTCTCCATCACATCCGAGTCTAGAATTCTTTCTGTATTGGAATTAATTGAAATGGTTTTCCATTCGATTTTTCAATTTTCCATTCAATGGTCTAAATTTCCTAACACTGCCCAAAATGCACATACCTCACACTTCCATGTTCCCACTCCCGCGTCTCTGTATTTGTGTTGTTGACTCGCAGAGAGTTATAGCCTAATACGAGGACTACGAGGCTGAGAGCGGAAAATTAAACGCAGAAAAACGCATTCAACTTCCAGAAATTATTTGACGGTCCGATCGAATTTTGAGCTGAATTTTTTGTGGATAAACTAGACTTGATGAAGAACATACCATAAAAATTTCATAAAAAAATTCCACTAGGAACCGCCCCGAGCGGCGGTGTTCGGACCGGGTGCTGCTGGACCTGAGAATTCTCTCTCTCTCTCTCTCTCTCTCTCTCTCTATATATATATATATATATATATATATATATATATATATAGGTTTTGGTTCAAATAAGAACATGATCTTAGGAAAGAAATGAAAACGAATCTGGACCGTTAGATTTGCTTTAAATGAAATTCAATGTACATGAGATGAAACTGTAATGTGCATTAAGTGAAATTGAAATGTGCAACACAAAGCGTAGGATACAATGTCATTAAGTGAAACTGAATTGTGCATTAGGTGAAATTGAAATGTGCACTAGGTGAAATTGAAATGTGCAGAATAAAAGATACGATGTGATGTAATTTTTGTACATTTTATTCCGCACATTTCAGTTTCACCTAATGCACAATTGAATTTAAATTTTTATTCTGCACATTTCAGTATCATGTAATACACATTTCAATTTCATCAAATGCACATTTGCGTTCCACATAATACAATCCAACGGTCCAGATTCGTTCTTATTTCTCTCCTGGGAGTCCGTTCTTACCGGAACCGCTATATATATATATATATATATATATATATATATATATATATATATATATATATATATATATATATATATATATATATATATTTTGGTTCAAATGAGAATAACATCTTATGAGAGAAATAAGAATAATCCTACATCGTAAGATCAAACTAGATCACTAAGGTTATTTTTGTGATTTTTCTTTCTTGTACGTATGCATCCGAAAAACTTGCACACATATTGGCTTTCATTATTTAAGAAACTTCCATTTCAGTTACTTCTACATCATTATGATTTAGTGCTAAATTTATTTATTTTGCTTTATCTTTACGAGAGTAACATTACTCTCTTTCAACTTGATTCTCTAAGTTTGACTATTTATCTTTTTTTCATGTTTATTTTTTCTTCCATTTTAACCATTCAAATATTATCAAGCAGTTGTTTTGAGATTTTGAAAATACGTAATATGTATTACGGAGTATTGTTTTGTGAGATAATAAAATTTCATTTAGCTCATATATCATTACTTGTTTATTTTTAATTATCTTTAACCTATTGAAGAAGTTTGCTGTTTTTATTTCTATGTATGTTTATTTTTTCTACCATTTAAATCATTTAAATCATATCATGCACTTGTTTTGAGATTTTGAACTTACGATTATGCTTCATCCATAAAGACCACATTATTATTTAGAATTACAAAAATATAATTTCATTTACCTCATGTTCATATGCAGTAACACATACTAACATATGCACAATATGTTATAATGACCAATTTTCTATTCCTTAAAATTTTGATGCACTTACTTCATTGATGCACTTCATTTTAGTTTTTTGCATATACATATCCAAAAAAAGTGCATGTTACTTCAGGAGGCACCATCATAATGAAATAATTATGATTTTTTTGGGTAAAAAGTACATTTCATTTCATTTTGTAAAATATCAATGTAAGAATTTAGAAAGTGTGATATGACTAATAATGCACTTTTTATATAATTAAAATGCACCTTGTATAAGTGCATTCATTTTATAAAAGAGTGCCAGTGTAAAGTTTTATAAAGTGTAACAGAATAGTGCAATTTTGTTTATATATAAAATGCACGTGCTAATTGATAGTTTACACTCTTTTATATGATTGCGCACAATTAAATGGTTAAAAATGTAAGTTAATGCAATAGAAAGTTAATGCAATAAAGTGCATGATTATATAAATAATTTTGCAACTACTAAATAATTAAAGTGCAATACTATATACGTAAAGTGCATAACTATAGAAATAAATTTGCAACTAAATAATTGAAGTGCAACCACTATAAAACAACTAAAGTGCATTTGAAATTCCATTAAAGTGGTAAATATAATTTAATATAGCACTACGTGAGCTCTAAATTATTAAGTTTATTATGGAAAGTAATTTTGTAGTCCAAATCTTTTGGGTGCACGTATCTAGTTTTAATTAAGTAGATACCGTTACTTTATACTAGTAAGTATTTTACTAAATTCTCCTTAGCATTAATACTATGTGTCATGAGATAAGTATTGCCCATAAAAGTTTCTCTTAATTACAAAAGCACCACACTCATTTAAGTTCAATCTTGATCATTGATTTTGTACATTTGATGGTTAGATTTTGTTCTCATTTCTCTCCTAATACTTCTTTCTCACCGGAACCTCCCTATATATATATATATATATATAGCGGTTCCGGTAAGAACGGATCTTAGGAGTGAAATGAGAACGAATCTGGACCGTTGGATTGAATTATGTGGAACTGAATTGTACATTTGGTGAAACCGAAATGTGCATTAGATGATATTGAAATGTGCAGAATTAAAATTTAAACTCACATGTGCATTAGGTGAAACTGAAATGTGCAGAATAAAAGATACAAAAATAACATCACATCATACCTTTTCTTCTGCACATTTTAGTTTTATCTAGTGCACATTTCAAATTCACCTAATGCCACTACATTGTACCATTTGTGCTGCACATTTCAATTTCACCTAATACACATTACAGCTTCATCTGATGCACATTGAATTTCTCATAAAGCAAAATTAACGGTCCAGATTCATTCTCATTTTTCTCATAAGATCATGTTCTTATTTGAACCAAAACCTATATATATCAACTTCGTTGTGCAACACGTTGTGGTAAATGTGGTGTTCTCACGTTCTCACGTTAAGCGGTGAGAAAGATCCCATGAGACCTCCCTTTAAAAATGAAAAGTGAGAAGCTATCTCCGCACTAAGATTTGTTAAAACATCATGCGCTTCATTAATGGCAATATGGTAAATATTGCAAAATATGTACCGGTTTATTAGTTGGAAAACATCTAAAATACTTCTTCCGTCCCTTAAAACTTTGTTATCTTTCCGTTTTGGGACGTTCCAAAAAACTTTGCCACTTTCCCTTTTAATCAATTATTTTTTGCTTCCTGTTATTTCTCGTTTCTCTGCACAAATCTCAATCACACGGTTTTTACTTTATTATTCTTCGTGTCAAACTCGGTCTCTCTCCCCCATCCTCCATAGTCGATGTTCTGCTCCTTCGCTGGTTACTAGAGTTCTCTCAAACATGTACTATTCATCGCTTTGGAACCTTTCCAGGTACTTATTCAAATGTTAAGTCCTTATTTTTATCTTGAATTTGTATTGCTTACTCCTTTACCAGCCACTTCAAAATTGAAATAGTTGCTGCAGTCCAATACAATTTGCATGAGTTCTGAGTTCTCATCGATTGATAATGACTTATATAATATTCTTTGGTAAGCATGGTTGCCATACACTAGCCATCGATTGAGCTATTCATGAATTTCGTAAAATATAATTTACTCTTTTGTTACTAATTTTTATTTCGTTCCTTGCCTTATGCATTTCTTGTGCTTCCTTATACGTAGCTAATGGAAAAACCTTAGTCCATACATCACTTCTTTTGGACTCTACCGAAAGATTGGGTTTAAGTTATGTCTATAAAGTGTTTGTTGAAATGTTCCAATGACAAGTGATATCTATTTTCATTTGGTGTGCGAATATTAGTAATAACTTATATAACTTTGAAATATGAGCTTGATATTTTCAATAATATGTTAATGTAATGAACATTAACCTAGGATGTTTTCTTTTGGACTAAAATTTGCTGGTCTGGTCTGATCTGTTCTGATCTGGTCTCAAATGTGTAATATTTTAGTAATATTGTGTCATTATGATGCTTGACTTTTGGGTTGAGATCTATTGTTAGAGGTTAATAATTTATATTAGAAGTTAATATTCGTTTTTTAAAAGTTAGATTATTTGAAATACAAGTTCTTTTATGGTTGACTTGTTAGGGTCTGCCACTCATTTAAAGAAATAATTTTTTTATGTAATCCAACTGTGTCATGCGTACTTTAAAAATTTACTTCTGAAAATTTTTAAATACATCAAAAACTAATTACCTGTGTCTCTGTGCTTTAGTACAGGGGTAACACTGCGTACATCCAACCCCCCCTTACCCCACCGTATGTGGGAGCCTTTGCGGCACTGGGATAAATGAAAATGATGAACATAAAAAACTAGTTGCCCCTACTTTCAAACTTAAGAGAACCAACATGTTAGTACTTTTCTCTTGACAAGTTTGATTAGATACACCATTAGGAGACTGTATATAGTCCTATCCAACAAGGACAAAAACAGATGACTTATCTACTCATTCCCTCAAACAAGGGTCAAGCGGAAGAATTGTTGGTTTTGTACCCATGAATTTTATCACATGTTGTATGAAGAGCGGTGCAAAGCAAGTGAAGGTGAGCAGGGTGATTCCATTGTAATGAAAGATGATACTCAAGACAAGTTGGAAGAGGAATTGGCGACTTTCGTATCTCGTGTGTCATGGGAGAAAGTAGATGTCAACTTGCATATCAGCAAAATCAAATATGCAACTCATAGTATTATCCAGGTAAAAGTCGAGTGTGCATTCAGAAGTTCCAAACATTATACATCACTTTCTTCTATAAAAGCCTCAATTCTGAAACGGGGGTCGCCCCCAGATGCTCCCTACTATGTATGTGTATCATCAAACATGTGTGTCCTTTTGGGTGCAAGCAGGGTTCAAGATGCAATACCTATACATTTGTCTATAAACTACAAATTAATGAGGCAGCTGATGAGAGATCTAATGTATTGCTTATGTGTTGCAGTGTACACAAGAACACTTCAGTCTAACTTCTATAATAACTTCATTGTTAGCACCACTGTCATCTTCGTTTGGTGCCTCAATATTTTCTCTACAATAAAGATAAATGAACATACTTTTATAACTAATAGATCCAACATAGTAACTTCTAAAACTAAATACATAACTTTTAATTAACATTAGCCGAAAACATCAAAATCAGAAGTTATTACAATAACTACGTAGTAATATTTATTATAAAGATGTTGTGTTTCTATCAAAAGTTATATTTTTAAGGTCAGGAGTTGTATTGTTCCTACAAGCAAGTGCTTGATCATTTTTTACTTTTGTTTTTATGTTATGAGTTATGTTATACGTCATTAAAGTTATACATTTATGCTAAAAGTTACTCATTAGATCAAATCATTAATCAATCATAATGTTCTAAAAGACGTTAGGCGCTAGTCGGGCGTCAGCCTAGCGCCTAGGCGGCTAGGCGGGCGCCTAGTCGGGGAACTAGTCGGAGACATAGAAATTGCATTTTTATTTATATTTTTGCATAAATATGATAAGTAATATTGTATTTTGTGTGAATGAAATACACACACTGTGACACTCCAAAATTTTGAATAAAATAAAATAAAATACTTTGAAAAGTATAATATGAAACCAAGAAATTCTTACAATTAAATTAATGGAATAAAATATACTCCGTATTAAAACTGTCCCCTAAAATTATAAAAGAGAGCGTCGGTTGAATTCATATTTACAAAATGTATGCACACACACACACTATATATATATATATATATATATATATATATATATATATATATATATATATATATATATATATATATATATATATATACACACACACACACACACCGTATATATTATGTTACACATGCCACATGTATGTAAGACATTAAAATTAAAAAAAAATAATGATCAGCCTTAAAAACCAAAAACCTCAAAGATGGTTAAAGCTATTTAAAGTCCATAAAGGACCATACACATACATGACATTTAAAGCTATTTAAAGCATGTATGATGGATGTATATATATAGGGAAAATTACCTCAATAATACTAAAACATGTTAGTGTTCCCAAAATATGATCATGTATGTTTTTATATCATCCGTATGACCAAACATATAAAGACAAACATGGGCGCACGTAGAGGTGGACTCGGGCCGGGTGGTCCGACTCGGAACCGGCCCGGGACCGGTACTGTTCCGGCCCGGTGGCCCGGCCAGGGACCGGTCCGGGTAGGCCCGGCCCTGTGGTTTTACGGTGCGGGCTCGGGTCTGCCAAATGATGAACCGGCCCGGCCGGGCAGGGGCCGGTTCCGGGCCTTTTGTTTTTGTTTTTGTTTTTTCAATTTTTTTTATTTTTCAGGGTTGGGCTGGGTGTTTTGGGCCATTTGGGGTGGTGAGGGGGGTGGGGTGAGGGGGGGTATTAGGGGATTAATTAGAAAAAAAATAGAAAGTGGCCCGCGGCCCGGCCCGGACCCGGTGGCTACCCGGCCCGGTCCCGGGCCCAACTATTCTGAACCGGCGGCCCGCCCGGGCCTAGGCCCGACCCGACCCGAGTCCACCTCTAGGCGCACGGTTGAATAGGAGGGGACTGTTGGGAAAATAACCACCCACGTGAATGGAGGTCATCATGTGAGATCATAGATTATGATAAATATTAAACTAGTCATATAATGGGAACTACATCATCTTTTAGTAATATCGATGATAAATTTCTCATATTTATATACACCATGACATGCATAGATACTAACATCTATGTACATAATACCACGTACTAACTATACACATACCATGCACACCCAATAATTATGCTCCGTACTCCGTAGTAGTTCCTCCGTTCTTAAATAAATACAACAGTTAACATTTCACACTTGCCGAGACACAACTTTGACCATTAATATAAATGATTTTGTATTAGTAAAAAAATTAAAAAAATTAGATTATGAAAATTTACAATTAGACGAGTTTAACAATATTTTTTTCATAAAATAATATTATTACATTAATAAATAAAACGTAATCAAAGTAGAACATGTGAATAGTGTAAAAGTCAAAGTGTTGCATTTATTTAAGAACGGAGGTAGTAATAGCTCCGGCAACTCAAGGGACGAAGTGAATGGGAGTATGGGACTGACCCACGAAGAAGCTAGCGACCAAGGGAAAACAAATAGACGAGTGTAATTGTTAGAAAATAGAAGAGGTTGTTGGTTGTATGAATAGAATAAGTGATTTTAGTGAGGTGTAATGTAGATGATGTGTTTTAGAGGAGAGCTCTTGTCTCTAGAAAAGTAGTATTGTATTGATGTTTCTTGGTTTTGCTTGGTTTGAAAATGAATACAATGAGTCCTATTTATAGGAGCTAGAGGATCATTCTAGATCCTTATTAAATGCTATGATTCTAGAGTATTCTACATCTATGTCTAATTACTCTAGATTTTACATAAGAATTCTCTAGTAGAGAATTTTCTAGAATACTTTCTACCTTTAACTCTCTAGATCATCTCTAGCCTTTTCTACATAGAATATTCTAGATAAATGCATCACTATTTAATACTCCTCCTTGATGCATTTGTCGGTGACTCCAAGCATTCTTCGCAGAAACTGGAATCTGTCTCTTGGCAGGGCCTTCGTGAAAATATCTGCCAATTGTTCTTCTGTTGGGCAGTACTTCATCTCAATATGCCCCTTTGCTTGGACATCTCTCAAAAAGTGATACTTGATATCGATGTGCTTAGTACGATTGTGCTGAATTGGATTTTTAGCCATCGCAATAGCTGACTTGTTGTCGCAAAATATTTGAGTCGCAGAACTTTGCAATTCTCCCATGTCTTCTAATATTCTTTTTAGCCATATAGCTTGGCACGCTGCTCCGGCTGCTGCAACATACTCGGCTTCGGCTGAAGATAGTGCAACAGAATCTTGCTTCTTTGATCCCCATGAGAAAATTCCCGAACCCAGCTTAAATGCGTAACCGGAGGTGCTTTTCATGTCATCTTGAGATCCAGCCCAATCACTGTCGCTATATCCAGTTAGTCGTGAGTCAGGAGTTGTTTTGTACCAAATACCATAATTGATGGTTCCTTGTAGATACCTAAGGAGTCTCTTTGCCGCTCCATAATGAGTCTCAGTTGGACTTTCCATGAACCTCGAGAGCAAACTTGTAGCATTCATGATGTCCGGCCTCGTAGCCGTTAAGTAGAGTAGACTCCCAATCAAACTTCGGTAATTGGTTGCGTCCGTCTGCTTTGACCCATCTTCTTTCTTCAATTTTTCATTTGGAACCAGTGGAGTAACGACGGCTTTGCAGTCTTGCATTTTAAACTTCTTTAGCATGTCCTTAATATATTTTTCTTGAGATAAGAATATGCCTTCTTCTTCTTGACTTATCTCCATGCCAAGAAAGTAGTGCAGTAATCCCAAGTCACTCATCTCAAAAGTGTTCATCATGTCTCTCTTAAATTCTTCAATTAATTTGGAATTATTTCCTGTGACAATTAAGTCATCAACATATAGAGAGACGATGAGAATGTCGGATTTACCTTGGGATTTGATGTATAGTGTAGCCTCGTTCTTACTCCTCCTGAACCCTTGACGGGTGAAGTATCCATCAATCTTGCTATACCACGCTCGTGGAGCTTGTTTGAGCCCGTAAAGCGCTTTCTTTAGACGAAGAACTTTTCCTTCTTCTTTGATGAATCCTTCTGGTTGTTCCACATACACTTCTTCTCGTAGCTCTCCATTTAGAAAGGCTGACTTGACATCTAGCTGATAAATTTTCCATTTCTTCTGAGCTGCAAGAGCTATGAGTGTTCTTATTGTGTCCATCCGGGCAACTGGTGCAAACGTCTCTGTGTAGTCAACTCCCGGTATTTGAGCATACCCCTTTGCAACCAGCCTTGCCTTATGCTTCTGAATTGAGCCATCGGGGTTCAATTTTGTTTTATACACCCATTTGACTCCAATAACCTCCTTGTTATGTGGAAGATCTACCATTTCCCAAGTATCATTCTTTTCTATCATTTTGATCTCCTCCTCCATTGCTTTAATCCAAACTTTTTCTTTGGAGACTTCGGTGTAGCTATTTGGCTCCAAGGAGCAAAAGTTGCATGTTTCATAGATGTCAGTAGACTCATATAGGTCTGCTAGAGTTCTTACCCGAAGAGGTGGGGACTCTGGTGAGGAGTCGTGATTTCTTGATGTATTAGCTTCAAAAGAGGATCTTGGAGTAGACGTGGGGCTTTGTTGATCGTGATTTTCCTCTTCTGGTATTTCCTCTAGTTGGACAGTAGTTGTCTTTCTTTCAACTTTTTCTGTCTCCCAATTCCAAGAAGCTTGCTCGTCAAACTCCACATCTCGACTTATCACCAACTTCTTTGTCTCGAGATTGTAGATTCGATATCCCTTGGATTTGGAGCTATAGCCAAGGAAGATGCCCTTCTCTGTCTTGTCTTCTAATTTGTGCCTTTTAACAGAGGGAACATGAATGTAGCATATGCTTCCGAAGACCTTCAAATGTTTGGCTGAAGGCTTTTGTCCAGACCATGTCTCAATAGGTGTTTTGTTTAAAACCGCCTTAGTTGGACACCGGTTTAGAAGATAGACTGAAGTATATACTGCCTCTGCCCAGAACGTTTTAGGCATTCCTTTTTCAGCTAACATAGACCTTGCCATCTCCATGACTGTGCGGTTCTTCCTTTCGGATACCCCATTTTGTTGTGGAGTGTATGCTACTGTTAGTTGATGCTCTACACCTTCATCTTCACAGAACTTGTCAAATTCTTTTGAGTTGTATTCGGTACCTCGATCGCTTCTCAACTTCTTGATTTGATGACCACTCTGTTTCTCCACGAAGTTCTTGAATCTCTTGAATATTCTAAAGACTTCGGATTTTTCTTGGAAAAAATACACCCATGTCATCCTAGAGTAATCATCGATGAAGAGTATGAAGTACCTGTTCTTCGAAACTGAAGGCGTGCGCATTGGACCGCAAACATCGGTGTGGACAAGCTCTAGTATCTGTTTGGCTCTCCATG